CAGGGTCCATTTCATACACTCCAGAACCTGCACCTGACATCTCCCCCAAAAGCACTTTCCTGGGGTGCCTTCTTTGGAGGGCATAACTCAGACCCCCGAACGCCAATCTTTTCCAGTTGTGGTGGGCAGGTAGAAGAGAGTCAGCTGGAGATCCCCTGCAAGTTTGGGGTCTCTAGCACCTGGGGGGGTCTGCCACATCCCGAACTTCCTGGACCGATTTGGTCTGTGTGAGGCTGGTTCAGTTTGGTGTTGTCCATGGGCCACCACGGACTCCAAAGCACCTTTTTTCGGTTCCTGCCCATCCCTATACATTTATTCTGGATGCTGCATCTTGTTGCTTTTATATAATGTTCATTTATGCAGCAACAAAAAAATGCAGGTTCTCTTTTGGCAAAGGTGAGAAATTATTAGGGGTAGGGTTGCCAAATAGATTTGACTCACCGGCGGGGGAGGCTCCTTCCCGTCCGGGAGTCTTCCGTGTGTGTGCGCGCACGCTTTGCGCGTGCGCGCCGCCGGAGCGTCCCCGGAAGTGACGTCACACGCTGGGCGGGGCCACACCATTTGAGGGGAAAACAAAGAGTTTTCCCCTCAAATGGCGTGGCCCCGCCCCCAGCATGCGACGTCACTTCCGAGTGACGCGCACGCGGGGGTGGGGTTTCCCCCGGGCCCCGATTCCGGCGCGCCGGGAATCGGGGCTCCGAAACAGGGGATTCCCCGCCCCCCGGCTGCATTTGGCAGCCCTAATTAGGGGGCAGGGGAAGGCACAGTCACACACAGTCATCCCACCCTTCTAGTGAGGGAGACAAACAGGAGCACACGGTCAGGACAGAAGGGCGCCTCTCTTCCTCATGAATACCTCAGCCTCTTCCCTTCACCAGTCTCCTTGAATCAATGAAGAGAGGAGGGAGCGTTCTGTCGGGGAGCCGAGGGTGAATCTGCCAGCCAACCAATTTTGAGAAGGGGAAGTGTGCTCCTCTCTCCTACCAACAGGAATTTCTGTAAGGATTTCTGTCAGGTTCCTACCAGAATGTGACAACTGGGTCAAGTGATACAAAAAGCCATTTTTGTATTCAGCTAACCCTGAAATAGCTGTACAGTTGCCAGCTGGTGAACTCTCCCTTTCTCTTTTCACCAAAACAAGCTGGTTAAACTGCAGGCTAAGTCAGCAGTTACTCCATCATGCACCTTAAAGCAGAGCACAGAAACAATGACTTTCTCCTCACCTATTTCCTCTGCTCTTTATAGCAGGGCCCAGGGAACAACTCGGAGTGTATGACCGAGATCTAGGACAGAGACAGTTTCAGTAGGATTGACTTAAATATAATAATCTTGTTTCTGGAATCTTGCCAGGATCCATTTTTAATCAGCCATGCCCCATCTGCATATACAAACAGTGGATAGTGATTCAAGTGATAGCCCCTGCAGTTCTGACATCCTATTTCTCTGAAGGTCTCTCATGACCTCCACTAAGCAAGAACATATCCCACTCCCAGTGTAAACCCCCCTCATATACATTGGCATGCAATGCAGTACCAGTTGCCTGGAAACAATGTGAGGTCTGATGGCAAAATCAAGGTGAAATCTGGTGCCAGGGAAATAAGATTATTTGCAATGCTGAACTTAAGGGCACTGATAGGGGACAGCTGTTCCAAGGTTAGGGAAAGCTATTCCAAGGCTGCTGCTTCAGACACCTCAGGGCAAACTCTCTTAACATGCATTCCGGGATAATTCCTATAATACTGGTGGCTTTCCTTGGCTGGTCACGCTTGCAAATGCACTGTACAAGTGACTCATATAGAGGAGACAACTGGTTTCCAGTAATCCTGCAGCCTTGATTTGTGAAAGATGCAGTATGTGATTCCATGAGTTAGTAAACCGTATGTATGAACTATCCATTTGACTCATCTGCATCCATGCAGATGACAACATGACACAAAACATACTTTATGGCTCTACTGTATTACTGGTATGCACATGTGAGTATTTTAAATGTAGGACAGAAAATGGGAGAAAGCCATTTAAGGCCCCGGGCACACGGGCCGGCTGAAACGCGGCTACTCAGAGCCACTCCAAACTTGAGACGCCGCGGCGGGATCCCACGGATCCCCTAGCCGCGGCGCAGCACTCCCCGGCACGCTCAGATGCCGGGGAGGAAAAGTCCGAGGGGAGGGGGGAGGCTGCCGAACTGCGCATGCTCGGGCATGCGCAGTACGGCTGGGGGCCGGGATGCGGCGGCGCAAGGACGCGCCGCCGATCCCACAGCCCTGCCTGCGCCGCACCAGGGAGGGGGGAGGCTGCCGAACTGCGCATGCTCGGGCATGCGCAGTACGGCTGGGGGCCGGGATGCGGCGGCGCAAGGATGCGCCGCCGATCCCACAGCCCTGCCTGCGCCGCACCAATGGATGCAACCACCTAGAGAGGTGGTTGTTTTTTGCGGCGCAGTTTGGGCCGTTGGGACGGATCAGGGACGGAGACGGCACGCTCGCCAGATGTTGAGGTGAGATCGCGCCTGTTTGCTCCGCCCCAGTTCCGTCCCGCTCCCGGCCCAAATGGGCTCGTATGAACGGGGCCTAAATCAAACTACATTCTAGCTAAGAAAAGGGCTAGTAAACCTCAATTAACTGTTGCTTGAAACACTTAAAACAAGTCTCCCCCTGACTAGCCTGTCATTCTCAGCCTGCTTTGTTCTGTCACGTCCTGATGGTGTCTTTTGTAGGTACGAGAAGGAGAGTGCATTCAGCATGAATCTAAACACTGCAAAACATATTGATATTTTTAATACTGGAAAAACCTGTGTCATGCCCTTTCTGAGGAAGTCCTGATGAAGGGTACAGAATTATGTTTCTCTCCATCACATCAGCTGAGTCATTTATGAAAGCATGAAGACTTCTCAATGCACTTCAAAATGTCTTAATAGAATCAGATGGGGGGGGTATTGGAACAGCAGTGGTAAGAAAGGAAGGGAAATGAATGCAGGGGCGAGAGTAGGCAACAGGATTTGGGCCAGGAACTCTTGGTATTATAGTCTTCTGCAGGAAACTGTAGCCCAGAGGTGTTGAACTTATGTTACAAGGACCAGACATATGACATCAATATAACTTTGTTGGGCTGGGCTATGCATGCTATAAAATGTAACATGAGGTACCAGAGATACAAACTTTATAAAGATGATTTCAGATGCTTAATGGCAATAGCAGGCATGATTGGATTAGGTGTGATATGTGGATGGGTGGAGATATCAGCATTGGTAATGAGACAGGAAACCTAGGTCTCAGTTCCATCCAGGAAGATTCAGTCCAGGAGGATGCAAAGAATAAATGGACTTAAGTCTGACATTAGAAACCACAACATTCAGTTGCTGACCTAAGAGTAGCAGTGCTCTTACAAAGGAATTTCAAAGGGAGATTAGAAAGAGAGACTGCTGAATTGCATCCTCCTGGACTGGATTGAGACCTAGTTTTCCTGTCTCCTACCAATGTGTGCTATTATCATTTGGCATCTGAAACCACTCCTCTCTCCAAGATATAAGGACCAATCCTAATCACGGTCTTTTTGAAAGAAAATAAATCCAGATCCAATCACTTTAAATCCAATCACTTTAAAAACAACTTTTCAGAATAAGCCAAAATAATTTCCTCAGTGTACGTTGTGCTTGTCAGAAGAATCCATCCACCCTCCCACCATCCCAAGAAGTGTGCTTGCACTCAAAAGCTTATACCTGGAATAAACATTGTTGGTCTTAAAGCTGGGACTCCAATTTTGTTTTCTCTCTGTCTCTTTAGTTCTCCTCCCTTCTCACCCACCACCAAAAGAGCAGCTCTGGAGAAGAAAGCAGAAGTTCTCGTTCTCTCTCTCTCTCTCTCTCTCTCTCTCTCTCTCTCTCTCTCTCTCTCTGTGTGTGTGTGTGTGTGAGAGAGAGAGAGAGAGAGTGGGAGGGAGGGAGGGAGGGAGGGAGGGAGGGGGAGGCAAGGCAGGCTTGTCTTTTTTCTCTCTGGCAAAGCAGCCACAAAGCGCTCTCTCTCTCTCTCTCTCTCTCTCTCTCTCTCTCTCTCTCTCTCTCTCTCTCTCTGTGAGTGAGAGGGAGCAAGCAAGCGAGGAAGAGGAGGAGGCTTGTTTTTGTATCTCTCCAGCATGAAGCAGCCAAAAAACTCTCTCTATCTCTGGGTGTTTGCGTGTGAGCGAGAGAGAGAGTGAGGGAGGGGGAAGAGAGGCAGGAAGCAGGAAGCAAAAAGCCACTGAGAGAGCTGGGGGAAAGCAAGCTAGGATGCCGCTGCAGCAGCAGCCCTGGGAAAGGAAGCAGAAGAAGGAAGCTGCTTGGGGGGGCTAGTTTTGAGCCCTGTGGAGGCCAAATCTGGCCCATGGGCTGCACGTTTGACACCCCTGCTGTAGCCTGTCCAATATGGGCTGTCAGGAACATAACAATAACAAAATCAGAAGGGTTTTGAACAACAGTATAGCCAAATGAATTGTTTTGTCTCTACCCTAATCTTTAACTCTAATAACATATTCACACATTGTGGGTTGTTGTTGTTTTTTGTGACAAACACACTATGTATGTATAGTGTGACAGGCAGTTACTTGGCAAATGTTTTGTATAGGTACCCTTATCAAAGAGCCAGGATAATCTGGAACATGCTGCTGAATGAGCACCGTGTTCCTGTGGGAAACCTGGCTTTCTTCCTATGTAATGTGTGAAATTCTTACATTCTAACCACTAGAAGTGTGACCCAGATCATTTTTGAATTCTGAGCTTTTAGCATTCCACATTTTAAATGTGAAGGCTGCCAATGTCTTCTTTTGTTGACTTCAGAAAATTCTCTGAATTTAAAATCCTGCTTTGGATTTTAAGGTTTTGCACTGTGTTGTACATGACTATGCCAAATATTATCAGGAGAGGAGAGGGAAGTCACTGGAAGGAGAGAGTTTGTAAGAGTTCCTGAGTCTGGAGATTTCAGAATGATGTACTTTGTTTGACCAAGCCGTGACCTCTGTCTCTGCAGCTGAATCACAGGCCCTTGCCTCCCAAATATATTCCTGTGAAGAAGATGGAGAAGGGCATGCTGCTAGAGCACCTCCTGATTGACCTGAAGGTGCCTCATAGTTATGAGGTTCGATTGACACCTTTGACCCGCTTTGGGGCTGGAGACATGGCTACCCGTATCATTCGCTACACAGAACGTAAGTGTCTCCTTCTCTACGTTACTCAGAAAATGATGAGGGCTCTTTACGTGGTCCACAAGGCATTAATAAATTCACCTGATAGGGTGGAAATCTTGGTTCTGTTCAAAATAATTCTGAAAGATATTTCATAATAACTCAGAAAGGTTTGCGGGGTTTTATTACACTTGTACCCAGCTTTTCCTTTAAAGAGCTCAGAGAAGCATACGTGTAGTGCCCAGGCCGTTTCTCATCGAGGCAGAGCACAGAGCCAGACCTCAGTAGCAACAGTAGTAGAACTACAACACATGTTGTCAGATTTACCCCCAATCACTAAATACTTTAGTCTTTAGATTCAGATGGTCACATACAGTTCTCAACGCAAAACAGTTCAATGTATCATCAGCGACTTATAACCTCTACTGGATAATGACAGTTTTCTTTCACAAGTACTGGAGGGCAAACCTTTTCTTGCGTACAGACAGCCCCCCAATCTTAAACAGCTCCTCACCCACAATAATGCAACATCTAATTTCAACATGGACACTGGTACCAGAGCTTGCAATAAACCCAGATGCCAACTTTGCTGCCACATATACCCAGACTACAGAATCACTGGTCCTAACAACATCAACTACACCATCTCAGGCACATTCAATTGCTCATCTTCTAACGTTGTATATGCCATTACATGCCAACAGTGTCCTTCAATTCTCTACATAGGGCAAAGAGGTCAAACATAGAGATGTAAAATTTCTGGAAATTTTGAAGCTCGGGGAAAAACCCAGTTTTTTTCCAGAAAAAAATGAAAATTTTTGGAAAAATTGAAAAAAATGCTACATTAGCACTTATTTTTTCTTTTCCAGATTGAAAGTCATTCTGTTACTTTAGGAACATAAAATATGACTATGGACAATTTTACTTGGCATGAAATTATCACAACTAGCATATTAAAAATGTAGTGTATCCAAACAATTATTACAAACAGAATTTACTTTTTAAATAATATTTATTTGTAATTGTAACAAATGGAGCAACAATCTCATGAACCGTTTACTAGTTTATGTGGAACAGACAAAAAAACTTCCACAAAACAATTTTTAAAAATCCAGAAGTAACAATTCATATTTCCTCTCCACAGTATTAAATTTAAAAAAAACCCTTTCTCATAAAAAGAATTGAAGGGGGGGGAATGTATAGAAGGGAGTGTGGGACTAAGTTTCAATGAATGGGCATAAAATTTAATCAGAATCAGTTTTTGAGCTGTATTCTGGAAAATATTTGAACACCTTGTCTTAAAACATTTTATTCATCATGTTAAAATAAAATGTTCCATAATCAATTTTTTTCTTTTCTTTTTTGAATTTTTCCAAAAAAATTTTTTGGGGGGACAAAAAACGCTTCAGGAAAAAAATGGGGGGAAACGGTTTCCCCCCGAATTTTTCCAGTTTTTTTCTGGGCCTTCACATTTCTAGTCAAACTCTATACCAAAGGATAAATGCACACAAATTGACATCAAGAATCACAAAATTGAGAAACCTGTAGGAGAAAATTTCAACCTTCCAGGGCACTCAACAGGGGACCTCAAAGTAGCTGTTTTATTGCAAAGGACTTTCAAAAACAGACTGTAACGGGAGACTGCTGAATTACAAATTATTACAATACTCAGGACAATGGAACCCCCAGGGTTTAACAGAGATATTGGGTTCTTATCTCACGACACATGCTAAGTCACTCAGTTCTTGCTTATACCCAGAATTAAACTTTGTTGGTCTTAAAGGTGCCACTGGACTCAAACTTAGTTCTTACCAATGCTCCCTCTAAGCTGTGGAGTCTTGTGGGCAAAAATAGTACGTTGTGAGCTACTAGCATTAAAGTTGTGAGCAAGCGATTTGGCTACTGCATAAATTAGTTTGCTCTGGAGCCATCCTTCCTGAGCTAAGACAAAAATGTATGAGCCAGAGGCTAAAAAACTGTGAGCTAGCTCACACTAACTCAGTTTAGAGGGAACACTGGTTCTCACATCAATTTGTTAACTCTTTTATTGTCTATATGCTGATTTGCTACTATTCACAGGTCTTACCAACTGCTTTAATCCAGTGTCAGCTGTATTTATTGCTCAGTTACTTATGCATCTTGACTCTGATTAGCCCTTCCTGGCAACTAACCCCCCACACCTATATGTATTGATTGAGGAAGTCTTGTTTCAGTGTATCTGAAGAAGTGTGCATGCACACAAAAGCTTATACCCAGAATTAAACTTTGCTGGTTTTAAAGGTGCCACTGCACTCAAACTTTGTTAGTTCGTTTTGGTCTTTGTAGCCACAAATCTTTTGTTAGAAGAAGGAAATATACATAGACAGGACTGCGTGTACCAATGAACTTGCAGAAGTATGGCCACTGTGTTTTTACTTAGGATCAAAGGACTGCAGATTGTGAAAATTTCCAAACAGTGATTTACATGGTCTCATGCACTTCCATGTATGGGCTTGGTCTTATGCCATCATTCTACATGCACTTCTCTTTGGCCATTGCAGAAGTGGTCCTCCACTGTGGACTGCATTCCTGTAGTGCTAGGTAGTTTGGGGCTTCATGAAAAACATTGGTCATGTGCAAGCATGATAGAGAGTTCACAGCAGAGGACAGGATCCATGCCATGGTCTAATTTTCAGGGTAAACTGAATTCTTGACTCCACATCCTTCAAATCCTACTTCAAACCCCAAGGATCATCTAACTGCCTTCAATAAACATATGAGTTTTCACTTTCTGGGAATGAAATGTAAAACAGACTACATTTTGCATTTTTGTTACCATGCACAATTTTGGTGGGATCAAATAACATCTTAGATTCCCCAAGAAGTAAAATCTTCTATTTGGCTTGGGTTTCTCGCCCAGAGGAAACCCAATACTCAGTCCTCTCCTTAAATCCCATTTCACATGAAATTCACTTTTATGAAATGTTATCAACCTCCCATGGTTTTCCCATCCCAACAATTGCTGTCCGTAGAAATGAATGAGGTAAGTTTATTAAAGCTTCTTTTTCCTCAGAACTTCTTGTGGCCAAAAGATTGTTTCTGTGTGCCGCACTTAAGAAACTATATGCTGAATCTCAGATTCTGATCCAGAGTGTTAAGGTATCAAGATATTACTTTAATCAAATCTATTAGTAAAATTCTGGACATTTTTTCCTGTTTTGTCATTAAGTGTGCTCATACTTATTTAATAATATTCTAAAACCTCTGTTTTCTGATTCCTTTCCTAGCACTCAGCTCCCCCAACCCAGTAGGTAAGTAATGAGACTCAATTCTTCGCTTTTTAAAATATATCTAAAATCATCCTATGTCCTATAGTTACAAGTCATGCATTAACAATTAAAGATATTAAAAACACAACCCAAAAGTGCCTAAAATGTACAGCTAAAATAAATATAAACACATCCAGCATACATAATCCCTTATATCCTCAACCATTAAATTTTAGAAAACGGGGCCTTGCATTTTCTATAGAAGATTTTTAGGAACTTGAGCAGAATTTTGGAAGATGAGAAATTTTAAAGTGGGCAGAAGAGTCCCAAAGACCATACTAAGTCAATGAAGAAGACCCAGGAACACTGCTGTAGTGTCTTCAGTGACCCATCTGATTACTTTGTTAATCTAATGGGAGGATGGCATACAAGCAAGCCTGTCTTACTTTGAGTCAGGGGTCATTTGGGGGGGGGACGCGGGGGGACGCCATCCCCCCGGGTGAGGTGCGGGAGGGTGGGGCCTGGAGCTCCCTGCTGGTGCCCGCTGGAGGTCGCCGCCGGCTGTGGGGAGGACACACTTCCGGTGATGTCAGGGGGTGTGGCATATGCTAATGAGTTATGCTAATGAGTCCCGCTAGCTCTTTTTCTACGAAATGACCCCTGCTTTGAGTCAAGGCTCCAATATAGAACTCAGATATGAATTCTGTTCTCTGGGTATCCTGGCTTCCGTACAGAATTTAATGCAAGGCTCACTAGGGTCTGACTTAAGCACAAGATCTGTTTCGAAAGACCAACCTTGGAAACTGCATTTCCCATATCTCTAAGCATTAGCTTGGTTTTCTGTTTGTTTGTCTGCTTGCATTCGAAGGCTGGTGGAGGATGAGAGCCTCTCCTGACCACATGCAGGGTGACCTTCTCTCACCTCTGAGTCACTCACCGCCAGCCTACACATATCTGGAATCAGGGAGAACAAGTCCTTCAGGTCAAAAGTTACAATTTCCCAGCCACTTGTCCCCTCTCTTGTTATGCATCAAAGCTGCCATCTTCAGCATACTTATTTACAAAGCCCCACAGATGATGGCGGGGCTTACTTTTGAGTAAACATGGACAGGATTGACCTGTAAAGTGCAGAGACATAACGGTCAATACCATAAGAGCTATGCTAGCCTAAACCTTTAATCCATCGCTCCTTTCGGAGCCAGGAAAAGTTTCACTTGGTCAGTTTCTCTGTATCAGGCAGGTGTTCAAAGCACAGGGCTAGTGCTAAACAAGGATAGAAATTATAAGCAAATTGCTTTATCATAAACAGTGATTGTTTGTGGTCCTGCATGTTCTTGGAAATGCATGCCAAAGTCAAACTCCATCTTAAATCCTGTTTGTATTACGCAAAATGATCTTCCAAATCATTATTTCATATAAGCAAATGCTTAGCTCTGGAAGGATATCTAGCGCTCAACGGCGAGAACTCATCTCCAGATAGTTTTATTAAAAATAGTGCCCCCTCCAACCATGAGGAGTGACCTGAATAGAATCTCTGCACAAGTCTTACAAAAATATGTAACCTTTCATTAAAATCTGCCTCCATTCCTGAGGACTGGAAGGTACCTAATGTCACTCCCATCTTTAAAAAGGGTTCCAGAGGAGATCTGGGAAATTACAGGCCAGTCAGTGTGACGTCGATACCAGGAAAATTGGTGGAAACCAGTGTTCATTTTGTAGAAAAAGAGGTGCAGGAGCTCATTAGCATAACTCATTAACATAACTCATTTGCATATGCCACACCCCTTGACATCACCGGAAGTTTGTCAGAAGGCAACACCCACCGCTCAGGCTCCCCTGGACTGTTTTGGATTGCTAGCTATTGGGGGGGGGAACGTGCAGATCTGTCCTCGCAGAGGAGGGAGAGCTTGTACCTGAATAAAACTTGGTCTTAAAGGTGTTACTGGACTGTTTTGGCCCCGGGGCCCGGGGGGGGCTCTGCAACTTACCTGGCTGCTTCTTGCTCTGACTAAGGGCTGCTGGGAGCAGGGGGTGGGGCTTGTTGCATGTGCCCGCCCCCTAGGCTCTTTACTGCCGGAGTTCCGCTCCTGTGCGCTCCTGCAGGAAATGACCCATGGTGGAAACCATTATTAAAGAAAGAATTAGTAGGCACATTGATGAATAAAAACTACTGAGGCAGACTCAGCATGGGTTCTGTAAGGGAAGATCTTGTCTCACTAACCTGTTAGTGTTCTTTGAGGGAGTGAACAAACATGTGGATGAGGGGGACCCAATAGGTGTTGTTTACCTTGACTTCCAGAAAGCTTTTGATAAAAGTTCCTCATCAAAGGCTCCTTGTTTGTTGTTCAGTCGCACAATCGAGTCCGACTCTTTGCGACCCCAAAGGCTCCTAAGTAAGCTCAATAGTCACAGGATAAAAGGA